GTTCAGAAATCTAAATTATGAATCACTCTATATTTGCTTCAGTTAAATGTCAGTAGACAGTGAATAAAAAGTCAAGATGTGTGTCATATAAGCCGTTATGTTCAATAATGAATAGTTTCGAGACAAAAAATTCCTAAACAATAAAAATATATATTTTTCACACCCCTATATCTCCGTCATCATGCCCAATAAACCGCGAGTGTGCTATGTTGTGATAGATCGATGAAATCAACTCTCCAAGTAGAACCTCGAAATACAATAAAATACAGGATGTTCCGTGAAAAATCGAAACTTTGGTATGCCGAATATTTTCGAAACGTATATAGAATTCAGAGCCCGCTACGAAACTGATGGTGTACTGAAATTTCATAATATGTTCCCATTTAGTCAGAGTCCGCCATGTTGCTCGTGACTAACCCTGTATATAAAAATATTTCAAACACTGTAGCGTTGTCGCTTCTACTAGGAAGTAGTTGCCACTCAGAAATATTAAATTGAACACGTTGTATATTTTATCATTTTGAGAAACTCTATCACTTTGTTGTGAACTTCACCAGATATTTTCCTAATAGTTTGGCCGGTAATGACAGATTTTGTTCAACGTTTTTTCAATGTATGCATCTTCCAATACCTACCTCCTTCTCCTATTCTCCCTAGGAACGCACGATGTTCTTTGAACATTATAGGGATTTCCTTTCGTGCGCTCCAAGCGATGAAAAAATGTACTAGACAGGTATCTAAGTGTGCTCGCATGCAGCGTCATTACCACTCAAATTCGAATTGGCATTGGATTTTGATGATTCTGAACGATTATTCAATGCTTGCAAATTGGTCTTCGTTGAAATTTGAAAAAAATATCCAGCAGAAAAATAATTGCATACGCTGCCTTCGTGTAAGAAGTCCTGAAATTATTGAGTGAATATGTAACAAAGAAGGGGTATTGTTGAACTATTATTTAACGTATGCTTTTTCACAGACCTATTTTTAGTGTAACTTGTATCACGATAAACTACTTTGCATACAATCGTGGCGTGCACATGCGCTGTGAAAATTTTTTGCACATGCACTTTTTGTATTCACTAGGAAAAATCATTTAATGTATGCACACCACATAATTCAATTGCATTGAGTGAAAAAGCATACGTTGAATAATTGTTCCGGAATACCCCCTCTTTTTCACATGTTCACTTAATAATTTCAGGACTTGCTACACGAAGGCAGCTTATGCAAATGTTTTCTGCAAGATATTTCGTGTGTGTGACAGATATAGAAGTTTCGATGTTGCGCCGTCACACCCATTGATCATATGGAAACTCCGAACTCAAATATCTTCGTGGTCATTTGAAATAACCCAATCAAACCTGGTATCGTAGAATCCGTTATAATAATCTCTAACCAATTATGAAATGAAATATAGGGTGTTTCGTTTGTGAATCGAAAGTTGAAGTCATTTCCTGGAAAACGAGAAGGTGAGAAGGTGAGAAAATGTGTAAAAGTGTCCTCTAGGTAGCACATGACGACTATATGACGTCTAATTGACGGCATCACATTCGACCAAAAGACGTCTTCATTTTAACAAATGCGACGTCCAAATGACGTAAGTAAGACACATCCAAATGACGTCATATTTGAAAGACTTTTAGACGTCAGTATGTGTTTTCAAATTGGACCTTGAACTGACACTACTTACCAATTTCCGACGTCAATAGGACGTCTGTTTTTTTATAAAAATTTTTGAGGTTAATGGTTATAATCTGGTGAGGAAGGTAATCATTTGTGCTATAAAATAAATTTGCTACGAATGAAGATTTTATTAACAAGATAGTAATGTGAGGTATTACATATAGTTGGAAATTTCAGCGTCGATGGCTGCCCCTTCACCAGAGAGCTCTTTTGTATGTTTTGCTGTCCATAAATGGCGGCCAAAACACTTCCTTTTTCAACGGCGTCAGCCAAGTTTCGTGAACAACAGCAACACTGTTTCTTCTACTGTCATCAAATTGTAGCACACAATACATCCTGAATACTTTCACGTGAACAACAGACTGTATAGAAATACCACTCAAACACTCAACATTTTAACATTCTCAACAAATCCAATGGCACAGACGCCGTTCACAAACAACACCCATTCGGACATGGACGATGGACAATGAACATGAACGAGAACGCAGCTGAACGGCAGTAACGCCACTAACGGCAGTCGCGAGATGGTCGCGAGTCGCATACACAATCTCTTCGCGTAATTACTTGATCGCCATTGGCCATCTGATCGGTAATGTGAGAATTGTCTTTGGCGCTAAATTTAAACATTGAAAATCAAGGGAAGCCTATGGAATAAAATCCATTTTTATTATACATTTATACAGTTAATTGGATAGATTAATTGATTTATTTCATAACTTCGTTTCCCTATACATACATAATAATAATAATAACAATAATAATAATAATAATGATAATTATATTAATAATGCGTGACGTCGGAGGCCGCAGGGTCGTGACTGGAATTACATAAATTCAAATCATAATAATGATAATAGTTATAATAATAATAGTAATAATAATGATAATGATAATAATACCCAAAAAAAAGAAGACCATAGATTGACGTCTATACGACGTCAAACAGTGGCTGTCCATAAGACGTCAAATTAATGACGTCCGCATGACGTCATAATTTGGTCAAAAGACGTATGAGACCAAAAAAGACCTTAGATAGCGGTCCTATAGACGTCACATTCGTCAGTCTGGCTACCTGGGGAGCATATGCGATGTTCCGAATTCCAGAAATATAGCTAGAAAAACAAATGAGAAAATGGGAGTATACCATGTGTCTGTGTCACCCGGTATATCTGAACGTTTATCTTCGGTTCATGAGTAAGAAAACTAATGAGTCCTCCGTTTGGACATTCCGTAATAAATAGATGAAATTATTTATTAGACATCACATCATATTCCATCTTGATACTATAAGTTATGTGGTAGGAAAACTGAGCATTAGCTCTTGAAATATATAGACAATAACAAATTAATACTTCGAGCTACCTAGTACAAAACCACAAATTATAAAACGATTCCGCTAAACTACCGTATTACTGAAAACAACTGTCGGGATATTATGTATTTTACTGGATTCAGTGCCCTCGCTAGGAGTGTTGTGTATAGTTTCCGTCAGCCTCATTCAAATTTTGAATGGGAGCATTCCATTGGTGTTCATTATACACACAGTGTGTATCGATTGTCCTCGCATTAGGCCTAGATGGTGGATACTCTGTGTATATAGTTTTTTCGATGCGCTACCTATCGGTGTGTGACGGAACTGGGCGTCCGTTGAGGATCCGTCTTACGAGGACACATCAAATTTTCATGATATAGGTATAGAAATGATCGGAATAAGCTGAATAAGGCGATAGCAAGGACAGATATCTGCGAGGACATTTTTTCGGTCCTCGCATGCCAAAATGTCCTCGCTACCTAGTATTTGAACTTGCTATTGTCCTCGTAAACCCCGTCTCACACACACGTTTCACTATAATCACATACACCATACATTTTGATTCCTACGTGTAAACAATATGAGTTATTTTTTTCATATCAATCAGATCGACTGCACGCGATGAAATCTAATACAATACTGCGTCGCCACCGGTATCGGATGCATGATTAACCTACATAGTGATTCATCAGTTACGTCATCATTCTAACCGAATAATTCTCGAACAGGAATTGTATTTCTGACTGATCACATCTGAAATATTGTATATCAGGGGTTTACAAAGGAATTCAATATACAGTGTAATTATCAAAGTCCGTATCATTATGATATGATTTTTTTTCATTCATGCAAATTTGGAGTTCATCAAAGGTTTTTGCTCTGAAAATAATGCGAAATTAACCTGAATTGTTTTTCAATTTCATCGGTTGATTACAATGTTTTGTGAGGTTATAGTGTGTTTCCTTTTTGAAACATTTCACATGATGGCTTCCACGGTTATATTCCCCATAAGAAATTGGAGCATAAGACTCAGCCACACATCAAAACAGGGTGACCAAACTGATGATCACACAGATGATTTCCTTTATCATAATCCTGGAAAGTTATGTTATTTCTCGAAAAAAAAAAACCCGATTTGGAAATGAATTCCCAATTCTACTATATTCTTTCATCCATTAGGATATTCTTCTCTTTCAGTAGATACAGGACAAATTATGTTGCATTACGTGAAATCTATTTCATCATTGCACATGCACACCTTATAGAACACCCAATTCATTAGATAGATAATAAAATAATAATACTTTTTGATAATTTATGAACGAACCGTAGTTGTCTTTCTATTCCTCTTGTTCACGAATTGATAGCTTCAATATTAAAAACCTAAGAATGTTGTATACAGATTCTTTGATTTTTTACATTTTTTTTATGACATTTTTGAATTTGGAATGACCCTTTGGGCACAAAGGTATGTCCCCTAAAAATGATAAGGTGCAAGAGATCCTCACCACTCAACAGTAAGAGATCATTTGGCAATTCAACCACACACTATAATAAATTGAAATAGGGTTATGTGCACCTTGATAGCCTGTGCCGTTAACTCACAATGTCCGCAAAAGAGTATTCAATGAGCCGAAAAAATCCTGGAGTATGAAATACTCAGAAAATAATAATTAATAGATTCATCAGTCTACATAAGTAAATAATTTTGACAGTTCCACAACTGAGAAGAACTACAGAAATAGGGTCCCTTGATGTAAATTGACGTATTTGTTGGTAATGGTGACGTCAACGTCAAACTCTCAGTCACACTAGGGTCAAGAGACAGAACGCAACAAATAACTATCAGGAATCTTGAGCATTTATTACCTATCTTTCTTAAGACAACATTATGCTCATTGCTATTGATTGAATCAACGAAAACGTAACATTTTGACATGTGAACAAAATAATCGATAATAATTAAAGATCAATTGTAAAATTTGACCGTCCCTAACACCAGGAGCCTGCTGAAGAAGACGTCGGAGGCGGAGCTTGAGGAAATAAAGGAGGACCTGATCAAGACCAAGCAGTGCACGGACATACATCTGAAGGAGGAGGTCGATCGCAATTGGTCGGAAATTGTTAGTGATGATTACATATTCGATAGGATCAAGCGGGAGGTGGAGATGATTCGAAAAATCAAGATAGGCGAGATAAGAAGTTGGTGGAGTCGGCATAATAGATTTGGGAAGCAGGAAAATTTCAGGAAGATCAGCATTCAGGTGGGTGATTGCATTATACAATGTGTTTTACTTTTGATACTATGAAAACTTTCATTCCGTTATTTTGAAGTTATAACTCTAACTAGTCCACTGTATCGTGAACAGTTTTTTCCTCAGAGCTCACATTTTTCAAATGATTATTGAAATTCACGATATTTCATAACATGAAAAACGTGAGAAAACGCGTGACGTAATCACCTGTGAACGATCCAATGCAATCATGTAAGATTCGACTTACGTATGCATTTTCTATTTCTGTAAGACGAGGGCAGGACCTTTTTTGATTGTCATTTTCATCAAAAAAAGAAATGCATTTTTTATACTGATCACTTACTGAAGATAACAGAGAAAACGACACACAACTGAAGAATCAGATAATCTGAGGATTATCTTTGAATATTCGCATCTTGACTAGATGAAACCATTGGATGTAACAAGGATTAGAAGATGAAGGTGACAGACGATATTGACGTTAGGTAGTTAGGTTGACAATGTAGTTCGTCTTCTTCAGTTCTTGTATTTTTGAGAACTCTAGGCATTACGATATTGCCAGTTACATAAAATAATTTGGTTTTAAATAAAATGTAGGGCAAATGAATGCTGGTATACCGATGGCTCTAAAACTTAGGAAGGCGTCGGAGCCGGAATATACGGGATGAACCCATTAGTGAAACGCTCATTCAGTATAGGTAAACTAGCTACGATATTCCAGGCAGAGGTATATGGCATTGAAATGTGTGCAAGGGAGCTGGAAAATCAACACCACACACAAAAACAATAAAGATATTCTCAGATAGTCAAGCAACACTGAAAGCACTTGAATCCAACTGCTTCAAATCCAGAGTAGTATGGAACTGCAGGGAAACCTTAAACCGACTGGCACAATGCAATAACGTTAAGTCTGGATATCAGGTCACATAGGCCTAGAAGGGAACGAAATAGCAGATGTCCTAGCAAAAGGGGGGGCCGAAACATCGTTCACTGGGCCAGAACTGGTAATCGGTATAGCACATAGCACGGCAAGGAACAAACAGGATTCTGACAAACTACTAGAACTCAGTAGAGCACATCTCAGAGTTATAGTAGGTTTGCTCACTGGCCACTGCAAACCCAAACACCACATGCACAAAATCGGACACAAGATGCAGAGTGCCGTCTATGCATGGAGGAGGATGAAACGGCTAAAAAATTTTTAAGTACATTCCCTGCAGCGGCCAGAATCAGATTTTCAACATTTGGCATTACAACAGTAGGGCCAGAAAACCTGATAAATTGTTCTCCCAACGTACTCCTCAATTTCGCCAAGAGATTAGATATATTGGGAGAAATATAACCATAGGGTGAGCCACAATAGGCCATAGGCTGCAGTGGAGGGCCTGATATGGACCCACTCACGTGTGTAACCTAACCTAAATATAGTCTCGATCATTATTAGAAATACTAGGATATTTTTATCGGTACTGAACCATCTTGCAAGTACATAAGTAATCAATAAGTGATTATTAGGGACCAGGTCGAACTATTGTCTTTTGTGGATGTGAATACTGTTGAATCTCAAGAGGTAATCACTACTCACAAATCTGGCAGCGTCGAAATATGTCGTCCTACTTTTTATGCGAGCCAGAATTCAGATAAGAATGACTTTCACTTCGGTTCATGATGTCATCAAAACTGGCGTTTTTCGAAGGTGCCAAATTTCATTATTGAAAAAAATATATTTGCGATGATTTAAAAAAACGAATGATTGCATCAAATACCATTTATACACTGAATGATCAATATAAAATAGGTATTTGTCGTAAATTCGACTAGTGTGAACAACCTCATTGTTCATAGAAGTGTGGTAGGTTTCTGACTTGGAAACATAATGAGTGATAACAATCTTAGCCAAATTGCCATGGTAAAATATTGCTAATAAGACAAATATACATACATAAAAAATTTTGAAACGATGGTATTTTGCGTTTGAGAAATCATGGTTTTGTACCTACTTCTATGTATTTTCGAGAGGGCGCCACATAATGCACTTTTGTGCTCTACCTTGAAAAAAATTAAAGAATATCCTATATCGAAATCAATTGGAAGTTAATTGAGATTACAAAAATTGAATTATTTTGTTGCCTTAATTGAGTGCCCGCAGCCATTACTAACCTTGTTCCGGGGATTTTGTGACAAAAATGTATTCTTAGTTCATACTCGATTGTTTTTTATTTCTCATTCTTCCATCTTAAGGAGCGTTGGAAGGTTCAATGTATTGCTATGTTGCATTTTTATTCGTAATCTGATACCCACTACACTTGGTGTAATTCATGGAAATGTACTTCCTTATCCAATAATAAATATTGCTCTAGGTTGTGGGACATGAAGCAAAGGATCCTGATGAGAATTCTGTTGCAAAAATAAATGAAGATGAAGGTATAGTTAATTAAAATTGTTAATGGTTAACTGTTATCTGATTTTCTGTATTATTGATTTTAGATGGGAAAACAAAAGAATTAGTTATCAATATTTTGGGCAATGGTGAGACTCACAAGATAGAAAAAAGAAATTCAGACTACTTCATACAAAATATCGACGAATTTAGGAAAAATCTATTTATATATCCTGGAATACCTAGGAAACACTAAATTCTATATTATCATCCACGCAGATTTTGTTTCTGCAATTTTGAGTCACCTATGAAAATGTATATATACAATAAATTAAAAGTTTTATACAGAGCATGTGATGTACGAAAATTGTTTCAAACATCTTAATCTGAGGGAATCGAAAAGACAAACAAAAATTCTAAATGAAATATACGATTTTTATAATGAGTTATTTCTGTAACTAGTGCTGAAAGTTATATTTTCCTGCACGCTATTGCGGTTGCAGAGCGGAGTGCGGAAAAAATACTTTTCTTGGTAGGAATGGAGTTTTAATGGATCTCAATTGAGTATCAATTATTTATATGACTATTTAAATGTTTCATTTGTCTCAGTAAAATTGAAACAATAAGAATTTTGGTTCGATAACAAATAGCCCATAGAGGAAATATACATGTTGAGTCAGTTTTTTATAGCAGAACTTCAAGTGAGTTATTTTTTCGTACCTCAGTTTTTTTTTCGAAAACTGTATAAACGAGATAAATGCCAAAATTAATTTACTTGTAATGCATTTTTTTTCTCGCACACCTCATTTGGCATTTCTCAATATTGATTAGAAGACATTGGATGATCGAAAGCTTTCATAATTCAGCGACAAAACATGAAAAAAATAATACAAATTAAAAACTTTCAACACTGTATGTTTACATGACATTTCCATCTGGAAAAATGTCGTCTTCAAGCTATTCAGTTCTTGCTATGAAAAATTAACTCACCCTGTATATTTCAGCGGGTATCTATTAGGTTTCATGATATTTGCAATACATTCGAATTCGACGTGGAATTAACATGATTTTATCTGAAATTCTCCCGCATTTGACCCACATATTGTCCACAAATCAATACCATGTATATGCGGTAACTTAGTAACCACTACCAACAATGAATGTATGCAAATATTCAACCTACTTAGGTCCCGTTGGAAAGATCAAACGTCTATGTGACGTTAATTTTGTGAGTCTATTTTTGTTGAATATTTTTTCAAAAAATAAATCACTATGTGTGGAAGTTGATGTTGGAAAATGTACAAAAAATGTTTTTTGGTGAAAGTCGAGCTCAACATAGAAAAGGTAAGCTCGGTACATTATTTCTAGATGTCTAAATTAATCTTCAAAATTCAAAAATATGAAATAACTTGAGAATAAGGAAGCAGACATAATTTGTTATTAACATGTTACATGTTTCATACTTTCAAATCCATCATCAGCTGTAGAAGGAGGTTATATTCTTCAGACCTGAATTTAGCTTGAAAATTATCACTTCAATTACAAAAATATCAGGCCTATTTGTATCTTCGAATTCAAATTCCGAAATTTTAAATAGGCCGACTAATTTTAGACTAGACTTTATCATTTTCAAAGTTATGATTATGAACAGTTTCATTATGATATGCGAAATTAATAAATGATTATAAAAGATTGGAATTCGGAATCTTTATCAATAATTTTTAGTACCTATTACACATTTATTTATTTTTCTTTAATGTGAAAAATTAGATAAGATTTATAGATACTTTATGACTGCAGATTACCTGTCCTGGAGTATGGTTATGTTCAAATGGAAAAGTTTCCCTGCAAATTCATATGCTGGGTTCTTCTACACAAACAAGGACCTGCAAACCAATTTTTCCCATGCTATGTCATGAAAAATTCGTTTTCTCGAAGACATTTTACAACGAAACCTGTCTCAATGAGCTACAAAGGAGTTTGAGTACGTATGGTAAAAATCCAAAATAATCTAATATACCAAGGGACTGGGCATACTTTAGTCCCGAAAATTCAAGAAACGTTTTCACCTAGTTTCCTTTTCGAGTCATGAAGGATAGGATTTTTTGTGATTTTCGAGTAAACAGCTTATCTGTTGATTACTTTTTGGTGTTCGTTAGGAGTTCTAATTTTCACAGAAAAATTGCGATGTAGAAGACCTAAATATATTCATCTCAGATTTGGGGTAGTTCAATAAAATTATTAAGAGTCCATTTCACTCATTCTGCTAGGGGATCACCTGAGGAATGAGGTGCGAGAGGGTGACGGCGGTAGGCGGAGACATCACAACCCCTTCCACGGCGATTTTGCAAGCATGTATTCAGGTGATAATTTCGCCCGCTGGCCACTGCCAGTACTGCCACAGAATACTCAAACATTTCATTATTTTCATTTTACTTGTCTCATCTTATCTATTTTTAGAACAGCTTGGCGCAGTACGGTTATAAAATTGAAAGCATAGGGCATTTTAGGATGAAATGAATGAAACGTTATTTATATTCATTTGGATATTGGATACAAGTGTATTATTTCAGAAACTCAGCCATTCATTAGAATATAATTTATAGCTGACACGGCAAACGTTCGAATG